AATCTGTTGACAGATTTAAGAGATCAATCGAGTACTCTTTGTAATCCTCTGCATCGCAATCTCTGTGAGTTTGGTACATACCTATGTAGAATTTTTTGGTCCTCTAAGATAAGTTGACAGAATCACATTGGCTATGAAATCTGCTACTGCATAAGAATAAAAGAGACGGTAATTTCTGATACAAGCTTGAAGACTTGAAACAAAACCAGTTCGATCTAGACAATTGGACTAAGGTCGCTCTTTGTCTAAATCAAGGATAAGATGGAAGCAATGGTGGATTGATGCGAACCACAATAGGTGTGAAAGCCTACTGATACTTCACAGATTCTTCAAGACTCGGACTTAGCTCACGAGACAAAGAGAAGAACAAATATGTTTAGAAGAAAACGATTATCTTTATTGATTCAAAGGTGAAAAACTCGAACTACAATGCAAGGCATTATATAGCYAGGTTCTCAAGAATAAAGAAAGGAAAAACACATTAAACCTGCAAAAAAAAGAAAAGGAAAACGAAATAAACCAAACAAAGAAAGAGCCGTTAGACTTTAAACATAAAATCGTCTAAAAACGGTAACATAATATCTTTTAGTCTTCAACTTGACCAAGTCTTCTCTTGAGATCCTCCAGCTGATAAGAGGGTTTCCTAAGCTTCTTCTAAGGCCAAAGAAACCGTAGTAAGATGGGCTTCAAGCCTGGGATTGAATAGAATCCATTTGGTGACATTGGCTATTAAAGGATCCACTAGACATGCCTTCACTGCGGGGCTCTTTGCGGACGCTTTGTAACTCCGATTGAGATAATCTTTAGTATTCTGAAAACTAGACTCAAATATATTTCTATCTATATGTAGATCACCTCCTGAAGCGTTCGGGTYAGACAGCGACRCMTTGTTGAATATATCAGTCAAATGCGAGTTCTCTGATGGTGTTAGTTGCAATCCTTCAAACTGATCAAGCCTGATCAGTCCTTCACGATCCAGCTGCTCCACGAACATATTGAACTTTTTTTCCAGGCTCTTGCTCCTAGTCCTCATCATTGGTCTGCTTGGTACAAGTGGTGCTTGAATGACTTTACTTAGCGATTCGATGTCCTCATCAACTTCAAGCCATAAGAGGAATGTAAAAAGACAAAAGAGAATAATAAAAGAATCATTGAAGTTATGAAATTAGAAGATAGCTCTAGGGATTGGTGGAATCAAGGACCAAATACTAGATATTTTATTAATCCCTAGAGCTATCTTCTTTTTTACGTATATGTATCCCAAGCTCGAGATGAGGTATCCCAAAACTTGAAGCAAATATTTATTAACATTTTTATACGCCTTAAGTAAACCAATACTTATGAAATGTCTAATAAAATAACAAATTTACCTTAACAACTGGCATCCGATATAGCGTCTTCCTTACGGAGTAAATAAGCTTATGTGATCCCTGTAACTTCTTTATGTAGGAACAATTTGCTGGGGACACTAACAATTAACAAATATAGATACCAGTAATCAAAATCGTGAAGATTGGTATACATTATCTAAATAAGCAAAATCCGAAGATGTCATAACATAAAGAATGATTTCACATTGTATGATGTTTTTCTTGTACACACATCCTTCTTCATCACCACCACAGTTTTGAGTTATAGACACCTAAGATGAAAAAGGGCATGCATATAAGGAACTATTAAGAAGTTAAGCTTGGATACGAAATTCAATTGTTTGTAGAAAAGATGTTGTGAAAATATTAATTGAAAGGTTATTTAAGATTTGGATTCACATTAGTGTTACTGATTAATGTATATAAATTTGAGTCGTAGAAACTAACTTACCCAGTCAAAAAGTCAAATCTCCAAAGACACAGAGAGAAATCTTAAAAGCTGTAGCATTGGTTCTTTCTCATTCACTGCATTGCTTCTTTGAGTTGTTTTGTGTTGTTTATGGTATACAAGAGCTCTGTGTAGAAGATAGCTCCGGCTAGATTGAGGAAACCTATCAAAGCTTCCAAAGACACAGAGTGATACAATCAAAGAAATGCTACAACATCACAGCAAGTTGAAATTAAGGAACTTGAAGAATTAAGAAAGAAAATATGAAAGTGATGTATTGCGTTTTTAACGCATTCTAACCCATGTTTTCAATGTTTTATCGAGTCTTTCCTTTGGTTTTGTGGTCTTTGCAGGTTATAATACGTTTGGAATGAGTCTAAGGCGAATTGGAGCAAGGAATGGAAGAAAAGAGCGAAGAAGCAAGAAAAGGGC